GGGCATGTTTCAGGTTACTTTTAATGACAGAGTTGCAACAGAATCTGATCTATATAAATAATATCTAATAAGAGATAAGAATCAATTTTAGCATCAAGTAGGTGATGTGTTTTAATTATCATTCACTGTCAAGCTGAAGACAACATTTGTGGGTCTGAGGATACAGAGCACGTGTGTTTGTACCCAGGGAACTGCAGCAAGTTTTCCCTTGGTTTCTTCCAGCCTAAGACTGAATGGACACAGCCCTCAGAGGCCACTTGTTTTAACTTCCCAAGGCAAGGCAATGAACACTGGGGATGGAACAGAGCACTTATCTTACTAGACACAACAAGCAGGAGGCTATCCTTCTGTTTACCCTTCTGCTCAAGGGCTGGCAGAGCATCTACAGAGATATAATGTTTTCAGATATTAAGAGTGACTGCAAAGAAAGCAGGACAATCCCAATGATCTGACAGCTGAAGTCAGGTTTTTTCAAGGAGTATACTCTCATGAAGAAAAGGAGTTTCCTTACCCCTATCAATCTCAGCATGGAGGCAGAGTTTTCCTCCCATAAACCTCTATTTATCCTCACTCCTTCCAGAGTTAACTCACTACCTGTCATTTCCGTTTGTCAAACTGCACTGGGAATTTTCCAATCTATGTGCAAGTCCTGAAATCACAGCTTTAAACGCCAGAATTTAAACCTATTTCTTCTGGAACAACATTTAAACCTCTACAGGTCAGAGAGCCGGCTCGGGGAAGAAAACAAAGAGAGAAGAAAGTGAATCAGTCCTGGTTGTGTCAGCACATACCTAAGGAGCAGTGCAGAGTACTCCAGGTCAAATGAAATGCTTGGCAGTGTGGTTTAAGGCATTAAAACGGATCCAGCAATGGTCCAAGGGTAGAGCAGTAGGGCAGAGAACATCTCTGACCCAACGGGAGGCCTCTGCTTCCCAGACAGACCAGGAACTCATTACCTTGACTTTCCGCCCCTGGCAGAGCACTGTCGGCACACTCAGCCAACAGCCCCCGGCTTTGTGGGAAGCTGCATTTATTTATTCTTGTAACCAATGGCTTCTTTCATTCACTAAACCCTTGAGCGCTGAACCTTCACTTATCACAGGTAGGTGAACACTTACAGCACTCTGCATTCTCCTCTTACTGAATTCAGCAGGAAAACCAAAGTGAAACCGAATGCTGGTGTCTGCAATCCTGAAGGATCCTTACTTTTCAGGAAAACTGGAATAAGTGCATGTGACATTTTTATTTTCTTTATTCACCAGCAGCGCTCAAAGGCTCCACGCCGGGAGTTTTCTCCTCCCGGTCAGGGTTAGATCCTATCAAAACACACCCACCGGAGGGCAAGGGCTGCCGGCAAAGGTGGGCGCGCGATTCCACACAAAGCGAGGGGCCGGGAAACAGCGGGGAGGCAAACGCGGAGCAGCCCCATCCCTCGCGGTGCAATCCCCGCACGCGGCGCTCCGGCCGAGCACCCACCCGTCCGTGCGGGCAGAGCGCTCCCCGCTCCCGGGGCCGCACAGGGCGGCGGAGCCGAGCCGGGGGTGCTCGGCCCGAGGGCGCTCGGGGAGCGGGCGGGGGAGGACGCGGAGAAGGAGGAGGAGGCGGCGGCTGTGTTTAGTCTGCCAGGCGCGGGGAAGCCGGCGCGGCGGCGCCCTCCCGCCCCCCTCCGGAGGCTGCCGGTCCCGTTACGTAAGGGCCGGGAGCACGGGGCCGGGAGCGCCGGGACCCCTCGCCGCGGGGCCGGGGGGCGGCGGCGGCGGGGCTCTGCCACGTATCGCCCCCACCCACCCACGCCCGCCCGCGCAGCGACCGGACCCGCGGCGCTGCCCTCAGCTGACCCACCCCACCCGCCCACGGCGCGGCGGGGGCGGGCAGGCCTCACCTGAGCGCGGGGGGCGGCGGGGCGGGGGCGGCGCCGCTGCGGGAGCTCCGCGTCCGGCCCGGGGGCTTCTCACACTGAGCGCGCGACCGCCCCGCCGCGCCTTTTATGGGCTCGCCGGCCACGCCCCCCTCAGGCCGCGCCCCCCGGGGCGGGGCGGCCCGCGCGCTACGTGAGCCCGGTCACCGCGGCGGCCGCCGCACCGCGCATGCGCCGCACGGGGCTCCACGTGGGTCCCACCGGGCCGCCGCCATCGGACACCGGGACACCGGGAGGGACACCGGGACACCGGACAGGGGGGGACACCGGGACACCGGACAGGGGGGGACACGGGACACAGCGGGGGACACCGGGACACCGGACATGGGGGGACACGGGACACGGTGGGGGACACCGGCAGGGACACCGAGACACCGGACATGGGGGGGACACCGGGAGGGACACCAGGACATGGGGGACACCGGGACACGAGGGGGGAACCGGACACAGGGCACACCCAGACACGGGGGACACCAGGACACAGGAGGGGACACCGGGACACAAGGGGGACACCGGGAGGGACACTGGACATCGGGACACAGGGGACACCCCGACATGGGGAACACTGGACGGGGGGGACACTCTGACAACACGGATGACACCAGACACAAGGGGCAACACCCGACGCGGGGGACACGGGGGTGTGGCTCTACCGGCACCGGCGGGACAGCGGGGTGGGAGCGCAAACCAACAGGGAGACAAGAAGAAACGTGAAAGGGTTTAGCTGAAAGTGGCGGGGTTTGGAGTAAAAGTCGCCAGGAAAGGCCTAAAAGGCCGGGAGACAGCACGTGCAGCCCTGCCCAGCCCCAGGGCAGCTGAGCCCGGGGTCACAATCAGTCAGGTTGGAAAAGACCCCTGGGACCATGGTGCCCACCCTGCCAAGGGCTGTGCCACACCACTCTCAGGCACATGGTGGAGTTCTGGGGGTCCCCTGTGCAGGGCCAGGAGTTGGACTCGATGATCCTGATGGGTCCCTTCCAGCTCAGGATATTTTTTTTTTCTATGATCCTGTGACTTCAACTCCCACCTCCAGCAGTGTCCCTGTTTCCCAGGAGATCCTGACAGAGCCCAGGCCTGAGCCCCACAAAGCCCAAGTCCCACTTGGAGGAGGGGATCAGCTCCCAGCTGACAATCCAGAACAGACATTCCAATGGGGATCTGCTCCCTGACCACGGTGATTCACACCAGCTGCACAATTTGCTTGGGCAACTGAATTGTGCCCAGATTCTGAATCTGCACAGATTCTCATTTCTTTCTGAGACAGAGTCTTGTGTCTCCTCTCTCTGACTGCTGCTTTAATTTCTATGGATAATTGTGATTCCAAAGCAGCCTTGCACCTCCCTCTCTCCTGCCAGAGCCATCTGCTGCATTTCACAGCACATTTTGTGTCCCACCAGCCAAGCCTTTCACTCACCTTCTCCTGCCAGCCCAGGTGAAGACATTTCCACACTGATGGGTGCCTTCCTCCAGTGCTGGTGCTGAAGCAGCCTCCCCCTTCCTTCCAGGGCTTCCATCTCAACTGATCCCAAAAGCAGTTTGCAAGGCAGCAGCAAAACCTGTGTCACAAACCAGTATCAGCCCTCACCCACTCTGGTACAGCAGGAGTCTCAGCTCTCACAGAAAGGCATTAGTAAGCTGCCTGGATGTGTCTTGCCATGACAGGTCAATGCTGACTGCTCATTGTTTTCTAGGATTCCAGTTATTTGTTCATTCCAGCAACTAAGTTGGAATCAGGGACACTCATAACCATTTTTTCCTTTCTCTTTAGATCTGGGCTGCAAATAATGAATCACCTCCTCAATAGCCTAACTAGCCTTCAATCTTCCTCCTCCTAAGGCAGACGTTTTTGGTCACTCCCAGCTGGAAATCTTTCACAACAATAACAGGGAGGGGTCAAATCCCCCATAGCAGGGGTCAAAATCCCCCTCTAACACACATTCTTTACTGGGATGACTGAACTGGCTTAAACCCACCTTGCTCAGCAGAGGGAACTGGAGGTTGCAGCATGATCCATAACTAAGATTTCTTCCCTAAACTGTTCCCTCAGCTCCAACTCCCTCAGCAATGCCTTGGGAAGGGCAAACCCCGGGTGTTATGTCCCATTTTGGGGGGGGGGCTCTGAGATATGAAGTGAATTCGGTCCTTTCTCGTCCAGCTGTGGACACAGATGTGTCCACACAGGGCCAGCACTGCGAGAGCTGCTGCTCCAGAGCAGGAATAAGGCCAGTTTTAAGTGGAACTATCCGTCAAAAAATAAGCCTTCCTTTCCTCTCATTTTGGTCGCCTTCCAACAGAAATACAACTCCTACAACTAGCAGGAAACACTGGAATGATATCCAAGCTTCTAGCTGAGGCATCTAGTTAAAGCCCCATTATCCAAAGAGTCCATAACATGTAGCCAGAGATTTAACAGCAGCTTCCAGAGATTTGGCAAAACCTCCCACCCTGGAGAGGCACATTCAGATTTTTTCTAGTGAGATCTGCTGCTTCCTCAGCATCTTTTGCACTATCCAGACATTTTCAGGAAGCAAGGCAGGCAGTGGGGAGCAACAACAAGCACGTTTGAGAGCTGTGTTGCTCAGCATGGGGCTGAAGGCTCCAGAGTGATGGGTTTGGTCTACAGCTGACTTACCCAGGCTGAAGTCAGAGCCCACCTAGTTCCTTGCCGTGGCCAAGCCTTTAATCATGCTTGTTGCCCTCTTGGAACCTTTTCCAGATCTCCAGTATCCTTTTGGGGATGACAGGCCGTGAACTGCAGGCAATTTTAAGACACTGGTGAGTCATATCAATGACTTTTAATCAGTTTTATGTCAACCCATTAGCTCAAAAAGCTTAGCTATTTTTTTTTCAGGTGTATCCACAGCTGAGGGTTCACCCTTTGTAGAGGGATCTAGTTTCCCACCAGTCTGCTCCCAAAACAAAGCCATCACCTGCAGCCAACATTCTGCCACCAGTTATTTTGTGCAGTGCAAGTCAGCCCCCAGAGTTTGAGGATATTCCACAACCAACAGAAGCACCAAGGGAAGTGAAAAGCTAGAACTCACATGTGACCTGAAACAAATCCCAGGAAAATGCCAAGTGTCCCCTCTCCCCCTGTCCAGGGCTTAGGAGCACAGGATGTAATCAGCAGATCAAATGAGGCAGTTTCTTTCTTTCAAGGTCCCCACCCTGAGTGTGAGAAACCATAGGAGCCCATCATATATGTGGTATACACAAATCTAACTTCAGACTGACTTAGTTTGCCAGTTTAATGACAGAGGGGAAGACTACTCGTTAACTTTCCCTTTAAAGAAGTGGTTTGTCTTTCCTTAGGCTTGTCCTAAAAAAAAAAAGAAGTCTTTTTTTGCCAAGAGGTTTCCTGTGGCCTGACCATGAGTTTTCAATGTGAATTTGCTAGTTTCATATATTTAGGGCAATTAACAGTTGTTTTACAAGGGCCAGCTGTTAGCAATTCTAATGCTTATTTCTGCTTATTGGGGGCAGCTGGAAAGACACGAAACAGAAAAATTGAGATTAGTAGTATAACTATTATTAGCCTATAATTACATTTTCCAGCCACTTTTTTGACTTGAAAAAAAAAAAAATCTTTTACCAACGCTTAATCCCAATATGAGTATTTTACAAAGCCAGATTAAAAAAATAATAATAATCTTAGCAACACAGGACCAAAGATTTACCTGGTTTGCAATCTTGTCCATGTAGGAGATGGCAAGCATTTCTTACTGCTTGTGTCCTCTTTGCCTGCTCCTTTTGTTTGCTCTTCTAGCATCAGGAGAGTCTCTGGGATTCACTTCTCCTGGGGACCTGCCAAAGCTCAAATTAGAAGCTACAGAAATCTCAGGGATGCATCTGTGTGGCCAGGCCTTCCCTTCACTCCCAGGATTGCTCCTAGCATGGAGTGCAGTGTCTGCAGGGGACTAATACATACAGTTTATAGGTGCAATTCACACAGCTCAGAGCCCAAAAATACTTACAAAGAAACAACTCAGTGCCAAAGCAACAGCTGGTATTTGTGCTCCTTAAATTAAATGATCAAGTGAATGAATGACAAGAAAGCCTCTGTTTCAAAATCATCTCCCCTGCTTATGTGCTGCAGAAATATTTAACAGGGCACTTAATGTATGGACCCTTGGAGAAGGCACAAGGAATCTCTCCCAGGCTCCTTGGCTTCCCACTGCTCAGCCCAGCAGCAGAAGTGACTCTAATCCCATTTCCCCTGCATATCTTGCCCCAGCACACAGGCCAGGTGTACATGATTGGGCTGATCAATGTGTTTTTTCTCATGGAGCAACTACAGGCTGCGACACTGCCCTGCCCTCGGAGGAGGCCTGACACTGCAGTGGAGAGCTCTGGCTTTTAATCCTTCCTGTGACAGGGCACACTCACCAAGACACTGCCTGCTTAGGGCTGAGCAGGATTGAGAGGCTGGCCCAAGATTTGAGGTCAAAAGTACCTCCTCCAGCTGCTTCCCTCTAAAACCAGCTCTTCTCGCAAGACCCATTTCTGGGACCAGTCAGGGTCGATAAATCTGTTAGTTTGTTTTAACAGCAGGGTGGATACTTCCCTTGGAGATTATATTTCAATCCTTTATCTTATTAAGGGAAGATGTGTTTTGTCCATTAATCCAATTAGCCCAGTGGATTACTAAGATCGGGCTTGCTCTGTCTCAGGAAGCATATGAATAGCAGTGAGGCATAATTAAACCTAAAATTGTAAGTAATTCTGCTGAGTCCTGTTTCCTTGCATGTTTTGTTTGTTATTTTTACAAGCCACGCTCTCAAATTACATGACGTGAATTCTCGATCAGAACGGCTCAATTCATGACCAAAAAGCAGAAGGCTGCCCTGAAAACATTTACTTTCGTATGTTTATAAAATTCTCTTTGTGCTAAATATAGCCACGTAGGTTCCAGCCCAGAATAATGTTTTCAGTACTTGAGAGGAATCTGTTTGTTCACTTATAAAGGAATGAAAATAATCTGTCATTATTCTGACATGTGCCTTGGCACAGCACACTCTCTGATCAGAGAAATTCGCTGACAAACTCGGCTGTGGCTTTGGGTGCTGGAACACTGAACAGCTCCAGCCTTTGGATTTATAGGGCTCCTGGCACGTTTCCCTGTTTGAGGACATATGGTCCTTAACTTTGAACAGTGCTCTTATGTTATGGATACACAACCCGGAGAAGCTTGGAATTGGGGGGAAAAAAAAAAAATACTATCAGGATCCAAACTCTTGTGCTAAGAACAGCTCAAATTATTGCAGCAGCACTGCTCTCACAGGAACTCCTGTTCGGCCAAATGCAGGAGTGCTGATGGAACGAAGCAGGTGCGGGGTAAAAAAAAATAAATAAATAATAAAAATAGAGGGAGTTTACTCTCGGGCAGCCTCGCGAGCTGCAGCAGTGACTCCAGCCCCGGAGCGGATTCCAGCCCTCGGCTGTGCAGAACTACATCTCCCAGCGCTCCCAGTGCGGGAAGAGCCCGGCCCAGTCAGAGCCGGAGGGAGGTTGAGCCGCAGGCCGTTCCCGGCTGATCCCCGCTGCTCGCCAAAGCCCGGCGCCTTCCCGGGCGGTCCCTGCTGCCGGACACGGGGTGCAGTGAGTGGGGAATCCCTGGGGAAGGGCGGGCACAGCCCCGCTCCGGGGGGAGCTCCCAGCCCAGCCCCGCGGGTTGGACCGTGTCCGGACACCTTCCCCCAGACCGGGCTGCTCCGAGCCCTGTCCAGCCCGGCCCGGGACGCTTCCAGGGTTAAGCTGAAGGATTCCCGGTGATTCCTAGTTGAGGAGGTGGTGGGCAGTCAAAGGCTGGACTCGACGATCTTTTCCAGCCTGACTGGTTCTGTGATTCCAAAGCCGGCACGGTGATTCCCAGGGAGGGAGGGAGGGGTTAAACAAGGGCAGTTCTGCGGACAAGGCGCTCCCCGTGTCCCCGTCGTGCCGCTCGTTCCAGAGCAAAGTGCGGAGCTCCTGCATCCAGCGCTGCTGCCGCGCGGGGAATTCCCACTGCGGGAGACGCGGGGGTGGAGAAGCGGCAGACGCACGGCTGTCACTCCCCAAACCCTGTCACACACGGTCTGGGACAGTCGCCGTCCTCGCAGCGGCTGCCTCAGCCCAGTGGCTTCCCAAACAGGCTCCCCTGTCTCCCGAGGGATCATCCCTGTCAGCTGACACGGTGGGAAGGAGGGATCCGGGGCAGAGATGTCCGAAGCCACAAGGCAAAGTCTCCACGTGCACACAGGGAGCCATCACTGACCTTTGCTGAAAGAAAGGCTCTCAGACTCTTCCCTGGCACTTTCTGCATCTGTAAATCGAAGCAAACGTAACTTCCTCCTTAAAGGGCTTCGAGTTCCACAGCTGGGAAGTGAAATATCCAGGATAATCGTTAAGGGCTGTGGATCACAGCTCAGTTTTGGCTCAGAGATGGTAGAGTTTCTGGCTATTTCCTGACATCCTGAAGCTGAGGTCAAACTGAAGTCTGCGACTGCAAATGTGGCAGGATCCTTTGGCACAAAAAACATCCACAGCTGGAGATGATCCAGTTCAGCTGCAACTGCTGTCTCCGGTCTAAACTCAGGGAATTCTCTTCTGCAGCTGATATTTTGTCTTTCATTCCCTTCTGGCATCCATGCCTTTCCCACAGATCCACTGTGTGCTGCAATGGGATGTGTGGTTGGATCGAGGCCATTACAACTGTGTAGGAAGCAAACAAGAGAGCAGCCCTTTTCCCCAGGGACACAGGGGTTTGGGACAGGAACGCTGAATCCAGTCTGACAGCAAGTTCTGTAAGACCTGTGCACACTCACGGGTGGAAACAAACCCAGGTAGCTTTAAACAGCCTTAAAAATGGCCTGAAACTGGGTTTGATGTGTGACTGGAGACTGAAACCAAAGTGGTAAATTTAGAAAGCAGATTCTGTGGACTCTGCAAGAGGGAGATTTACCTGGTTATTGCGCCTTTTAAATCCAACTTAACTTTGTAGGGCTGCTGCATTACATTTTATGCTTCTCCTTTTAGGCCGAGACCCCAGCTGTAGGTGTTGGCTATGGCTGCAGTTTATCAAGCACTGCACAGAAGAGCTTCCTCTCTCCTCTGCAGGTTACACTCCACCTATGTTAGGAAAATGAGGTAAGTTCTCATCTGGTTCTTCTCTGGGAGAAGACCAGAGCTTGGCACTTGTGCCCACTGTCACAAACAGCCCTACCTCACTAAGCCCTAAGATTTCAGCTTGGTCTTTACCCCTCACATCAGTGGGACAGGCAGAGTGTTCCCAGCAGGAGTGTTTGTAGCCTGATGGGAACTGTCTCCAACATGTGATGTGCACAATAGCCTGGCCAAGCAGCACTTGGAGCCATCCAGACTGGGGGACAAAAGGGAAGATCAAGGTTTCCTGCACACAAATGCTCATGCCTTTAAAGCAGACCTTTTGGATTGAGAGACTGGGTTACTGATCTTCTCAGATACCCAAGACTTGAGGCTGTTCCTGTGGTAGTAAGAACTGCAGTGTTTTCTGCCATGCAGCCTTCCCTGGAGGCTGCAGCCCACCAAAGGGTGACTCAGCTGTCAAAACTCTCAAAGCATGTGGAATACTTTAAATTTGTTCTGTCCATTCAGCCCCCTTGCTCTGTGCAAAGTAAATGCATCCAAATAAGCATAACATTGATAATCTCAACCTGATCGTGAATTCACCTTCCCAATCATTTTCTCACTGCAGATACTTAAATAAGCTAAAGGAAGATGACAGTCTTTGTAGACAAGCCCAGACCTCGGGAACTTTCTACCTCTTTCACAATCTCTCTCCCTTCCTGCAGAAAGCTGGGAAGAAGTATTTGGTGCCACAGCTCAGTGCAGCAGGTGAGTAAGGAAAGAACCCCCTCCTGGATCACACAGCTGAAAAGAAGCAGATACATTTTCAAGCAAGCCCTGATACAGGGGATGGAAATCCATGGAGCTGTGCAGGAACATCCTGCTGTGTGCAGCACTCTGTTTGTTAACAACCAGAGGCTGTTAAAGTTAAGACCTTGGCATGTGGACACAAGCTCACACTCTTCACACACATGTAGTATCAACCTGATCTGTTTTGAGATGATCAATTTTAAACATTTGGGATTATGCCTTGTGAAGAGAAAGGAAAACAAGCAAGGTCTGACTGACAAAGGTTTTTTTGTGTGAGGCAGGAAAGGTTTTCTTCGAGAGGAAGGTATTGGCTGGTGTAGGACAGAACCACTGACCTTGTCTGGTCCCTTCTCTCACGTGGGCCATGAGCCAGGATTGCCTGTGCCTTGAAGATCCAGAGGGCCTCCCAGTTGTATGGATTTGCTTTGACCCCAGCTTTCTCTTCCCTTTCCCTGCTGTTCAGAGGTGCGACGGATCCTGGAGAAATCCCCCGAGGCTGAGCAGTGGATGGAGAAGTCGGTGCTGGTCGGTTGTTCAGATGAGCACATACCACACTTTGCCCTGGATTTAGGTTGGGATAACTCCTCTTCCATCTGTGCCAGCATCAGTGGGATGCAATGAGCGGAAGGTGCTGCTGAGGCAGCATTCCTGTTCCTGGGATGAACATGTGCTGCCACGGAGGGCTGGGCTCAGGCTCGGAATTCCTGCTCCTGGGCTGGACACGTGCTGGGGGGGCTCTGCAGGGGCTGGTGTGAGTGAGGCAGGTCACAGCCATGGACTGCACTGCTGTTCCTGTGTGTGTGTCAGGGAAGGTGGGCTGTTGGCAGCCACTGAACATTTGGGAATGTTACCCCTGATGTGGTGTCACTTCCGTGGCAACTTCCAGAAATTGTAATACCGGAACAATGAAG